AGCTACGCGACCGGTTCCGGACGAGGAGCCACTGCGTACATAGTAAGTCCCAGGATAGCGGAGAAACATTCGTGTTTAGAATAAACCCAGTTTGGAAGTTCTAGTCTCGAAAAACGCACCATAAAACGGCCCTGAGTGAATCACTCAGGGGCTCCTCCAAAGAAAAGAATAAGCTCGCGTTGTAACCCTACTCTTGTTGGGTTACATTATTGTATCTAGCACCTGAAGTACATCTTATTGTCGAAATGAAGCTCGTTGACCTATTCCCCTGATCGAGTTAACCATACCCTTCTTGTATATTGTTGCTAGGTTGGTTGAGCTATAAGAGTTTGTAAGTGTTTTTCAAATTATTGACTGGCAATCTGGCATATACATGTATTTATGCTATTAGCATTGTAGTACAAGTAATTTGTACTTGGCAATGGCATGTCCTATCGCAGCATTTATTTAGTAGAGATGCTTGTCAATCATACCAAGTATATAAATCAATTTCCCAAACAGCTAGCTCCGCTTGGTGTACAGTTAAGGTATCCAGTTTGAAAGGTTTCTAGAAGTTTAATAACATATATGAAAACATAGTATTATTACCTGTAAATTCCTTGTCTAGAAAAGTGTCGGGTAGCGAATACTAGCACGGCAGAATTATTGATGGCAAAACATTTGGAGTTCGGTTTTTGATGGCAGTGGAAGGTTTAAAGCCTGAAATATATACACGTTGTTAATTAAAGTTCATAATTGGTTCCGGTGTACGTGTTCTAGGGAGTCATGTACATCCACAACTAATTAAACCTCAATTTCCTTACATTATATACAAACATTGAAACAATAACTAGTGACACAGATTCATGTACACGTGATTTTTTATGGCGATGTTTAATATTGTTCCATTCATTTGGGTGGCCGTCAATTTACTAGTTCATTGTCACTCAGAAACAAAGTTAGTCTTGACATTAGTCTTAACGTTAACTTTTTCTGTCGGGCCATTGACAGTATCATGGTAAAATTACAAGTTTCTCATACACAGTGCATAGAGGTTTGAGTTACGAGAAAAAGTTAAAGGCATACACGGCCCTAGGTTCCTTGCATATTTTGTGTTAAAAGAAGTTAAAATTACGCTACATACAAATTTCATTGTTCAATATGCATTAGAAATGTTGTTTTTCATGTTTTAAAATCAATGGCTGTATCTTTACTTACAACGACGGTGGCGCCACTACTATACTACTAGCTATATTAGCCCATCTACTTTCAAAGGGCTTTTCGGCTGCAGGCTACTGACCGAGGGTGTTTCTTAATTCATTTAAAAGGAGAAGGATTGAAATATCTTGTAAACAACTTTTTAGATTCCATTATATTATAATATGGACGAATTTGTCCTAAAATAAAAATTTTTCAGTTAAATAGTAGGTAGGTATAAATATAATTGCACTTTTGTGATTAACCCTCGGTCTGTAACGTGCAAAATAAATTTTCTTTGTTAGGGTGGCAGCATAATCGCGGGGTGTCATGTCAGTGGCCAAAAATAAAGATTTGGAAACTTACTGTTGTTTTATGACTGTGAATGCATGGTTGTAGAAATTTGTAGATATTTACTATTATTTGTGCACTAACTATCATAAATATACCCTAAATTTCTAGGGTGTAGTACTGTATCCCTTTGAATGTTGATTGTAATGTTAAGACTTATTTTGTGTGTTGCAGTGGGCCTCAAACTTGTGTAATGTGTGCGTGCGTGCGTGCGTGCGTGTTTATCCCTATTTTAAAGTGGATCTAGATTTAAGTTTGTGATTCCTTATCTGACGGCTGTGACAAAAATTCTAAAATGTCTTGTTTAAGTAATCCTAATTCATAAATTCATAGTTTAAGTAATCCTAATTCATAAATTCATTGTTTAAGTAATCCTAATTCATAAATTCATGGTTTAAGTAATCCTAATTCATAAATTTATATTGTAAACTGTTGTGTAAAAATCAGAACTTTTTTATAACTAATATTAAATAACACTAGACGCTAATGTACTTTAGGTTTTAGCAGTTTACCTAACAATTGTGGAAAACTATAATGTTGAATGTAGACATACAACTAAAATTCGAAATACTTGTAACTGACCCAACAATTTTATCCTGCATGCTAATCTTGACTATAGAGCGCTCTATTTTTATCACTTCTTTAAAAGTGGCACAAGCTGCTCAAGTTAGGTTTTAAAACCCTATTAAAACATAATATGGTTACCTTCACTATAAGGGAATTTCAGAAGCTGCTGGTTGAAGTATTTCAATGTTACACAATGTAAAACTAATCTGCAGATGTAGGAGCAGCATATAATAGTAACTAATCATATAGTATAATAGTAAATAATAGTACTATAGCAGCTAATAATAGTAACTATCAGAATTAATCTTCTATTTAATGTTTACTGTTAAAGGCCTTCTTTGAGGTGATATCTCTAAACTGTCTCAAATGTTTTCACTTATCTTGAAGCTAGTATAACACGGGGTTAATAAGTTACAAAAGTTTCATTTCGTTATATTTTTTTGTGTTGGCCTCTTGTGATATTGAAAACACGTCGTTGATGTTGGGTCTATGAATGTGAAACATCATTTATTCTGCCAAACCGGCCACCAGGGTGGGAACACGCGCCGTCTGTGACCGTGTCACGGCTAAGGTGTTTCCCAGTGTTGCATCTGCCACACAAAAGCTGGCATCACTGCCATGAGCACAAAGCAGAATCCTCGACTGTAGCTTATAATATAATAACCAAGATATAACTGTTACAGATACAACTGACAGTATCACGACTAATCTATAAATACAAGTATAAAGGTCCAACTGTCTATATATTATTATGAGCATGATATATATATTATAACTATATTATATATATATATATATATATAGATATAAAATGCATTATATGCATGTAGACTTAACTTACCGGATTAAACCACGATTAGGATATACTCAGACAATAAAATCGGTTGCCAACCTACGTTTTTCAACTGACGCGAGGGTTTACAACGCTTACAGCATCTATATATTAATTATTTGATACTCATACTGTATTATGTATATACACTGAGTTTCTTACAATACAAAGAGCTCAAGAAACTAAATGTCCTCAATTTACACGTAAAATAACTATATATTACTAATTTACTTGCAGTAAATGTCTACGAGAGTCCTGTCATAATTTGCACTACGCTAAAACATTTACACTATTGGCCTATTATTTGCTTTATAATTAGTCATCTATAATTATAAAGTCAGTAGTAGAATGAGAATCTTACAGTTTACAGTACCCCTGACTCCAGGCTTGTGCGACGGGATTGGCTATACTTTGTGAATACTGGGGTACTTGTCTAACCCTAGCATTAGGCAATACAGGTTTCTTGGCAATTGCTAAGTTACGTACAGTTGGCCATAATCGGTTGTTAAAAAAAAAATCTCCTTCACCGGCTTGTCTCCCCCTTCCTCCACACACCTTACCCTCCCGTCTCCCCCCTTTCTCCTTCCCCCTCTCCATACCTCTCCCTTTCCCCCTCCCCTTCTCAACCGCTTCTCCCCGCTCCTTCTCACCCACCTGCTCCTTTTCCGCCCTCCTCCTTCTCGCACCAGGCTCTCCCTCCTTCCACCACGCTCGATCTCTTTCTCCCTTCTCCTCCTTCTCCAACCAGCTTCTTCCCTCTCGCTCAACCTATCTCCCTACCTCCTTCTCACCTCCTCCTTCCACGTTTCTCCCTTTCTTCCTCAATTCCTAGCCCGATATTGAGGCGGCCATACGGCCGCCGTGCAGATAGCCATAGTTTAATCTTATCCACACGACCGCCTGTGCAGTATAGACATATTGAGTCGGGGCCACACCGCCCGTTCCCTATTTGGCCTGCTACGAACCAAGCAAAGATTTTTTCATTTTGTGCACCTGAGTTAGTACCTACAAATTACATGAAATACTGAGCTAAACTCACCATTCAGCACGACTTAATTGCAGTCTTCCTTTCTGCGTCGACGTTGCCCTTGAACATTCATCGATGAACGATGGGCCGGGTAACTCGTTGGCCAATTAGCGTAAACATGTACGGCTGAATGAAACTATACTTCAACATGTTCCAGCTTCATTGTCTATATCTACTTCATTTTCAGTCTTCATGCCAATGCTGTTGACTGTTTATCCGTATCGTACGAAACTGATAAGTCTAGCAGACCGACTCTGAATCCGCGGCTGTTCACATTGTACCGCTTTAACTGCTGGCCAGACGGGTAACAAGCCGCCGAGTGCCTCGCCTGAGTCACATACGTCACGCGAAAAAAGATAGGGGGCGCTTTTGCGTTCCAGCAAATTCTTTACATTCGCTGAACATCAAAAAATATTTGTTCTCATACACCGAAAACCATTCACCTGTTAAATCTTCTCAGTAGTGTACATAACATAGTTAATTTGATATATGTAAACTATTTTTCATCCTAAGGAGGCCTTTAAAATTTGGAGCTAATGAAATTATCATTCAACCTGAATTTGGCATTGAAATAGTTAAAATTGCTTTGATTTCTTGCATGTTTTTCTAATGTTATAGGTACAGAGACAGGTACACCATAGTCTACAGTGTCCAGAGAGGATGCAACTGAACTACATTGAGGTCCCTGTCTCTGAAGCTACTAGGAATGCTATGTGCTGTCAACCGCATCTCTTGTCAGGTCTTAATGTAGTTTAGCTGCCTATTTAGGCCCAGCGTTTAAATTCTAATTCGCCCCATTGGCATGCTATACAGTAATACAGTATGGACAGTGTTTGAACTTTACTGAATGTCTTAATGTCAGCAGAAAAACTACTTTTGTAAGTTTAATGGCCTTCAGCAAAAGTCTTTATTGGTAATAGTACTTTAAATAATGAAAACCATGTGTATAATGAAAAAGTGATTCCATGACATTGTGGATAGAAATGACTAGTGACTAGTAGTATAATACTATAGTACAATTTAAACCAATAAAATATTGATAATTGTGTAATTAATCATGTTGCTCTTAGGCTTTAGATGTGTTTAAAAATATAATGTGTTGGTTATATATAAACCAAAATTGAGTTAATCAGGTGAATCCTATCATGTGTGTATTCTTATTAAGTGCCCATAAACAAGATGCCAAATTGCAAAAATTTAATGAGGTAACTTAGAACTTTAGAGATACACAATGAATTATAAGTCCTTTTAAGTAAGATAAATAATATATTTAGTAAAAATGCTATTATTTATTGCAAGTGACATGTGAGTAGGAGTGATATGGATATTAAGTGGAGTTATGCACACAGCAACATTATGTAGTGCAAGGGTAACACAGGAAGCAATGCTGAGGGAAGGGTATAAGGGCATGTCCTTCCAGAACAGATTTTGGAATGTTTGGATATAAAAACAAACTAATAAAAAACCTCGCATTCTGGGCACATCTAACTAGCTATGTAGTGACATGTAGCCCAGCACTATTTCTTCTTGCTTCTAGTGTGATTGGGCAGTAATTTGTTTGTTTGGTGGGTAAAGTAACAAGAGTGGGTGCTGGATCAGAAAAAGATGAAAATGTGTAGTTACATTTGTTATTTGATTAGATCAGAGCAGATCTACTAATGCGCAATTAAGTCTGTGATATGTGTGATGTAGCTATGTCAGGAGTCTAATAAACTTTTGACTATCGATAGTAATAAATATATATGCTTTATGTCAAGAAAGCACGTACACACGTCCGGCAATCTAGGTCCACTAGGGCTCAGAATCCTGGCAAAAATCTTGTGAGTACGTCACCGTAAATAATAAAAGTAAAAAAATTATGCCCACTTTTTCACAAAATGTAAGAGATTCTGATAACTTTTATAGTTAAATTGAGCACTGCATCATACTTCCTATTTTGCTATTCCGTTCTATGTGAACAAACACTCATGACTCATACATAGGCCATATCAAGCATTTAATGTCGTGATCAATATAGCAAATCGTCCAGGTTTTTTGGATTTTTAACTAGTTGAAAAACAATCTTATCAGGTAAGAATTTGAGGATACATTTAGTCCCGTTACAGTGTTAGAGCTTTAAAATAAAAACCACTCGCCAAACTGGGCAAGTGAGTCTATAAGTTAACTCGCCCAAACGGAATCTGTACTCGCCCAAATTTTAAAACAAAAATGCTTGTCAAACAATAGTGAAAAAAAACAAAAACACCATTGATTTAACTACACATGTAATTCATTGATGACTTTTCTCAAAAATTCAAGGCACATCTCCTCTGAAAGGTCCTGCTTTCATTTTCATTTAATTTACTTAAATTATTCTTGTGCTGCTTTGCCCCATCAATGAAACGCCAAGGTGACTTTTAAACAATACTGCACTCCCCCCCCCCCCCCCGCACATCAATCAATATGCTGCCCCAGGCACGTAGACACAGCTACGCTGTGCTGGCGCTGCACGCTCTCGCGGGCTGCTTTCTTCGGCGACCTTTGATAATATAAAGTGAGGATGTCGTGGGATAGCCGCCTTTCACAATAGAGTACCGAAGTGTGACGTCACGGTGGCATGACAACGAACCCACTGGTTCTACACAACCCACTGGCTCCATAACATTAACTGCGTGAAAATGTTGTGCGTACGTGAAACACGAGTGTCTGCGCTGCAGACAGCGGTAAAGCATCGGTAGCACGTCGATCTCACAATATTTAATTAATTAATTTTTTATTTTTTATTATTATTTATTATTTATTTTTTTTCGTTGCTTTTCCCTTCCATCCTTTGGAAATCTATAAAAACTGCAATAATGACTCTCAAAATGATGGTTACAATCCGGTACAAAACACGACACGCAGTTAATGTTACCAGAGCATATATATGATTGTGTAGAACCAGTGGGTTCGTTGTCATGCCACCGTGATGTCATCACTTCGGAGCTCTATCGCTACAACTGTATTTCATCAATGTTTGGATATATAACGTAAGGAACCAACATTTTATTAAAGTTCTAGACAATTATTTTTACTCGCCAACATGGGCGAGTCAGCTTTAGCTTTCGCTCGCACGATATTATTTTCACTCGACATTGGCGAGCGGGCGAGTGGCAAGCTCGCACGCTGCGTTAGTACTTACTTTTCATGTAAAAAAATTGCAAAAAAAATTTGACAAATATACACCATAGAAATTTAATGACGTAGTCAATTTAACATCTATCTTGTCGCATTTTATTTCTTCATTTTTCCACTGATATTGCCATTTCATTTCTGCTCCCTTCTTGCAGGATGTGGAGGAGAGGGTGCAGAAGACCTTTCCAAATCCCATCGACAAGTGGGCGATCGGAGATGCCCAGGATGCCGTGCAGAAGGGAAAGAAAAAGAACCCGCTGGTACTGCCCGTGGAGAAGATACACCCTCTCCTACAGAAGGTACACAAGCTCTTCAGTTTGTGTTGTGGAGATAGGACAGTGGACTATTAGCTAAGACTGAGAAAATTGGAGTCTCAAATGACTAGAGCATTTGTGTCCTAGCAAAGCAAGCACCTAGTCAAAATCAAAATGAAAAATTTGATAAAACAGATTGTATAAAGAATAGGAAATAGACCTTTTTTATGAAAAATGAGGCAAGTAAAATAAGTAGTAATAAAAATTGCGGAAATGAAAAGAATATGTCAACCATTACCGATGACCATTAGCTTTTGGCAGTAAAATTGACCATTTGGTACGAAAATGGACTGTTGAAAATATGGCAGGCATGAACTATGGCTGCTGAAAAAATGATCCAGTAATTTTAGTGACTTTTGGGAGTAACTAATGAAATTCAAATTGTTGATTTGACAACACCGGAAGTCAATATATAGAGCAGGGTCTGAGCACCATGAAGCTATTACTTTTACTAACAGTCACTAGTAAAGTTGCAATACAGTGGCTTTTAAATTGGCAGTCCGCAGGTCAACAAATTCATGTTGCAAAATCTATGATAAGGAAGCTTAAATAAGTGGTTCGTTTCCCACTCCTGGACTTGCTTGCCTCAACATATTCTTTACCATTAGTATGCTTCACCCAAGAAATATTTCAGAGAGTAATCGGCACTGCCACTAGAGTGTGGGCCGCATAAATGCAGCTTAGACTGTCCCGCATTGCAGTCCATGTCCCAGCAACACTCTTAAATCAATAGCATGAGACATGCTAGTATCTGTCTAGACAGCTATTGCACGCGAGCTCGTGCGCCCCAGCCAGCTGGCGTGGAAGCTAGTGGTTACATTGCAGTGAGCAATTTATTTAGTCACCAATTGGTGACCAGTCATGACCAGTTTTCAATGCGACCATGTGGTCACCGTGTCAAGCACTGTATAAACACGGGTGCAAGTGATAAGCCTGAGTTACACCCACATAAGGTGTGACACTATGCTTGAGTGGGCCTGGTTTGTGTAAATAAATTCCAAATATTATTACCACATAAAGAGAATAAGCGTTGACTCCTACCTCTTAGCATAATCTTGGGGGAAATCTGGAGCGATGGTTATATATATGATCATATCAAATTGTTTCCAGCGTTGTACATTTACTGCATAGTTTACCCACGTTGTCTCAGGAGTTCTTGTTTTGCATTTCACAGGAGGTTCTGGGCTACAAGGTTGATTACAGTGTGACTATATACATTGTAGCTGTCCTCGAGTACATATCTGCTGACATCCTAAAGGTATAGAAGCTTAGTTGGTAGATTACAACACATTTATATGCATGCACTTGTGTGGCATAATGTGTTATTAGTAGGACCATGAAGCAATATGCTTACATGTCTATAATGCCAACTGAAGCCTTATGGTATGCAGTAGAAAAGTTATATTCTAGTGGCATAGCAAGATCTGTATCTGTAAGATTTATGACATTATAATTAGTGATGTCACGATCATCGATTATACTCGATCATCGGTTGAACAGTGGCTTGAACCAAGCGCTTAGTGATGTCACGATCATCGATTATACTCGATCATCGGTTGAACAGTGGCTTGAACCAAGCGCTTGGTTATCAAAAATTCATAAACGATTTCATCGAAAAAGAAAGAAAAAGAAAAAACAAAAACGTAATAAATGTAAAACTTGGACAAGAAAACTAGGAAAAGTGATGAGAATCAGAGATATCATCGCTACTATACATGTTATCCTTTATTAACATACATGTATCGTACACACAGTAGTAAACAGTGCAAAACAAACTGTAAACAGGGCTAAACAAGCACATACATGCACACACGTACATGCACACGACGTTACGCACACGCAGGCATTCAACACCCCGAGTAACCGATTGTAACCGATCATCGGTTACTTGGGTCCAACCGATGATCGATTACGAAATTACAACCGATTGACAACACTTTATAATATAGTCTACAATATCAGGCCAACCTAGTTGTTACTGCATTAGTAGCAGTGCTGTAATAATCTGCTGGCAATTTAAAATGATTCAAATTTCAAATTCTCCTAATTTTTTGCCTTTTGCTTATGTGGCGGAGCTCTTCTTCAAGACTGAATGTATCAGAAAGGGCATCACTGAGTGTTGAGTGCACGGCAACACCAGTTTGCGCATGAACAAGGCTATAATGGTAGCATGAATCGTCATTTGGAGAGTTGTAAAGATCACGATAGTGCTTGCGTCTGTCCCCGACAACCGCCGTGATTGCGCGACCGCCGCGATTGTGCACCCGCCGCGATGCCTTCTAATAGCATTCACGTTGCATCTTCTTCCTTCTTTCTCTCGCGCGTCAGTTGGCGGGCAACTACGTGAAGAATATCCGCCACGAGGAGCTCACGTGCCAGGACATCCGCGTCGCGATGTGCGCCGACAAGGTGCTCATGGACATGTTCTGCCAGGACGATGACGTGCCGCTGCCGATCGAGGAGGAACCGATGAACCGCGGCTCGCTGACCTACGAGGAGGTCGTCAAGGACATGGTGCACGAGGAGAATCAGTACATACGCGACCTCAACATGATCTTCAAGGTGTTTCGAAAGCCGTTTGTCGACATGTTTCCGCGAAGCAAGGTATGAGAGATAGAGAGAGAGAGTATGGGGGGGAGGGAGTGGGAGGGTTAATCGTAGTGATCTATACATGCGATATATATACAGGGTGCGAAATTAACGGGAGTCCGGATTCAAATACTCCCTGATTTACTGTCGGACTCCCTGATTTGACATATGCAGGAGTTCGTGTGACTCCCTGAAAATTCTGCCATACTATACTAACTAGTTCGTTCCAGAGCATGGCCTCACGGAATTACCGTATTTTTTCAGCAAATGTCTAAAGAAAATTTGCAGACGTGTAACCGCATGAATCTTCAAAATAAGCTTGTGTTATTGTTAATATCTTTAATTTTGAACTTCAGACTGCGGACGCCATCATTTTGCTACGGACTCCCGTGTTCAACAGTTAATTTCTACCCCTGTATATATATATATATAGACAGTATAGATTGTAGTATCTGACAGTGATGTATATATATTTTTCTATAAGTGCTTACCTAGCACATTTAGTTATAACGACTTGCCAGAATTATTTCAAGGGATATTTCACTATTGTTATAGAGCAAATCAGTTAGCTGGCATGAAAACCTTTTGCCCCACCACGTGCTGGTAATCGCTAAGTCACCACACTGCTACTTCTAGTCTTCACCATTTCATTCATTTGAAATTCACCGGCTGACACCACCTGTAAGTTGAGGAGCACTCTGTTACAGATTCTGCGTCGCGAGATGAATTTGCGATACACATGTTTTTTGTTTTTTTTGCAGGACATTGATGTCATCTTCAGCAACATCGTGGACGTGCATCGCGTGACTGTCAACTTCCTAGGACTGCTGGAGGACACGCTAGAGATGACAGAGGAGAAAGCAGTGCCGACCGTTGGCAGCTGCTTTGAGGAGATGGCCGAGGTACGACGTTTCGAGCTATAGGTGTGGCAGGCACTCGCCATGAAATTGACTTGAATGAAAGTCCGAAGACACTAGTGCTAAGTGGCAGGTAGTGATGTAGGCAGTCACTGCGAAAGTGAATATAAGGTGATATGCTGGTGAGCTTATCGTGCTGGGAAATCTTGTACAGCTGACTTTTTTTGAAAGTGTGTCATTGCCATGCAGCAATAGCAATATCATAAAAGTGATGGTGGCTGTCATATTGACATCGCTGTACATCATGTTCTGGTACACTGTCGTCACTGCGACATATGAAATGAAGGAGCACGTATATTTAGCTGTATGTCACTTTCTGGTACACAGGTGTCAATCGAATGAGAACAGAGGACACATGTGATGGAGTTAAGGATATATATCGTTATACATCAATTACTGATAATACTCTTTTTTAACTCTTCAATAAACAGTTTTCAGCCCTCACTCCCTAAAAAATTGTAACTATGTCCGGCTGTGTGAGTGAGACATCACCTCATCTGCAGGACTAATTATCACCTTGATTTTCAAATGACGAATCCTGTATCTAACTATTTGTTTTTCAGTCAGCTGAATGGCTGGTCTATGAGAAGTTTACGGAAGATGCGCTAAAACCCCACAGTCGAGAACGACTCAACACCCTTCTGCAGAGGCCAGACCTATTACAAACCCTCGCGGTAAGGAATGGTAGAATGTCTTACGTTCCATATTTACTGAAATCTAAACCCAGAGAAATGGGAATAGGGGATATGGTCATGTGTATTATGGGGAATACACCAGCTGATGTCACAGTGCACTGGCCATGAAATAGACTAGTTCTGTGTTAGCACTGTTAGTTATGTCATACAAAGTGGTTACAAGAAGAACCTACTAGCATAGGTATTGTGCATGGCTCTCCCTGCAGTAGATCACGCTCATGTTAAACTCTATTTTATTCCAGCATTCTGGGCCAGGATTTCCAGTGGCAGTCAAGTATGTCCTGCCAAAGTTGCTGCTTGGACCCACGTACCACTGTTTAGGCTATTTTGAAACCATCAAGGTAAGGGTCACTTGGGTGGACGCATGTGCAGGTATGTAGTTAGTACCAACATTTGCAAGTATGTGTCTACATACAACAGTGTCAATATTTTTATTATTGCTTTTGTCTTTTTTTATCAGGTGTTGTTGAACCTATCGCCTGACGAAGAAGACAAAGAAACGCTAGAACAAGCTGATAGTGCACTCTATCCACTGCAGGTTTCATTAGACAGGCTAACTAAGGGTAACCTCGCAAAGAAGAAGCCTGGGTAAGAGATGTGTGCCGAGAGTTTGTAAATATGTTGTCCATCGATAAGCGCAAAGCATTGATTCACTCTCTGCAACTACGTGTAAATTCATTTTGAATTATCCTATTTGAATTTTCCTGCCTCATTTTGTGGGCACACAATATGCTCAGATATATATGCGTGCTCAGATATGTGTGCATAGAATGAATCTGTGCCAAAACACATTATAACACTGTCTCAGTGACTATACATATTGCAAGAATTGCTTTCTATGGCAGTCAACCTGTATATGCATGAGTTGTCGTAAAATGGGTCTTGGGTTTTTCTCAACAACGTCCAACATGGTTGCTGCAAGGTTTCTATTTCGACATATTGACATACAGCACAACGTATACTACCAATGGTACTAAAGCTTTGCGTTTGACTGAGCTGGCTACCTCCAACCTCTGACATTTCACCATGTGTTTTTGCAGGGAGATGTCGTTGCGCTTCTTGTGTAGGACCAGCAGGAAGGTGGCAGTTGCCAAGATGAACGAGCTACAAAAATCCATTGATGGCTGGGAGGGCAAGGATATTGGGCAGAGCTGTAATGAGTTTATCATGGGTGGGTGAAACAATATCAATATGGAAAAGTCAACTGAATGTAGCAGGCATTTGCTCAATCCATGTCACCTTTCTCTATTCTTACCTGCACATCTTGGTGTTCTGCTGTCTCCCCTGTGATCAAATACATTCTGTGCTAATGCTTGCAAGTGAATTTGCATAAACTAAAACAAAATTTCATGAATTTGCAAAATTAGATCTGTTATAAAGTCTAGTCTTGTATCTCAATTCATGAATTATTTTTGTGCCTGTCGCAAAAACTCTGCTTTGGCCGATACAGAAACGTATTTTTGGTTGGCACGTTAGCGTATCAAAAAAATCTACAGAGAATTTTAACCTCTTGCTAGTATTTCGAGGCATATTGTTTAATGCACGTTAACCTGTTACCGTGGTTACTGTTCACGCCAACAGAGGGCGTTCTAGGTAAGACCGGCAGCCGACGGAACACGGAACGGTACGTGTTTCTCTTCGACGGACTCATCATTCTGTGCAAGCAGAACTTACGCCGCTCCTCTGTGACAGGGCCTGTCGGCGAGTTCCGTCTAAAAGAGAAGTTCTACATCCGCAAGATTGAGATCGCTGACAGAGACGACACTGAAGGTGATTGTTGTGCCAATAGCTAGGCCACCCTTAAAAAATTACCCTCTCAGGGTACCGAGTAGGTAGGTAGGTGAAAAAAAATTTTTATTTTGTTTTGACAAGATGTGTGTATGTCTATTGTATATTCTGTTTTGTGTATATGTTTTTGCGGAACAAATTTTTTTTTTTTTTTTGTGAAACGAAATAATTTTTGTTTTGTTTTAATCGGCCAATAAAATGTGTCGAGTAGCGGCGTTTCGGCAAGTCGGTCGGTAAAGGGGAAACAAGCAATATTTTATCTTAGGTCTTGGTGTGTAGTTGTGCTACTTATCATCCACATGTTAGGCAGTAGTTAGCTATCCTAAGAGATGTATTTTTCAATGTATTAATATGAATTTATATATTGATATAATATGTTTTTAATGTATAACGTTTGTAATTTAACGTTACCATCTATATACTAACTAAATTAATGGCCCAGGATATTGTATATATAATACAAGTTTTTTTTGTAGTTAGAAATTCTCATGTTTTGCTGTGTTGTAAGAAATGGGACTATAGACATTTAAAGTAATAATTTCACATGTTTTCTCTGTTAAATGTAACTGTTAATATGTAGTGAGGCGAGACTGGATTTATCTACATTTATTCATTTCTTGAGTTACTCAAGAGTTATTAAGTTTAATGTTTTAATGTTTTAGCACTGATGCTCATCACCTGTTTGGTTTTTCTAGATTTAAAGTATGCTTTTGAACTAGTGCCCAGAGATCAGCCACGTATCGTACTGTATTGTCGTAGTCAGGATGAGAAAAACAACTGGATGGCAGCACTGGTCATGCTCAGCACTCGCAGGTAATGTCCTCCACACTATGGCAAAACCAGTCATACTGCAATCATAGTCACATTTCCTGTTTACATTGGTATTGTAGATGTATCGTTCTTTCACATCTTGTAAATTTCGATTACCGTCTGCAATTCTTATGTACACTGATGTAAGTGTAATAATGTCAGTGATAAGAGTGAGGTCCTGTTTGTCATGTTTTAGTATGCTAGAGAGAATGTTGGACAGCCAACTGAGTGAAGAAGAGAAAAAGCACCCACTTAGGCTACCAAACCCAGATGAGTACAGGTAAAGAGGTTACATTGCATGTGACCCTCATTGTATCTGTATCCTGTTTTCTGGTAACCCCTGTTTTTGTGACTAGTTGCAGGTCCATAGTCAATGTCATGTTCCATTATCTCACGTTTGATGCCTGTTACTTGGTCTCTCATTTGAGGGGATGCTGTAGAATATTCACAGATCACCCGTGTTTGCAGTGTTGTTGTGTAAACTGACTGTTTATCCAGGTAGTCTTTTAACTTATACCATAGTGCAGCAGCACGGGATTTACTCCAGTTGGGCATATCATGAATGGGTGGTTTGCCTTCTGTCCACAGATTTGCAATCGAAGATAATGAATACAACATAGTGTTCGAGGATTCTTCGCACAACAACTCCGGCATTCCAGTCATCAAAGGTGGCACATTGCTCAAGCTTGTGGAGAGACTCACTTACCATATGTACGCCGATCCCAAGTTCCTGCGCACCTTCCTCACAACATACAGGTATGCACACACGTTCCTGCATTAAGCTATGTGCTCACCTTTCCACACAGGTATGCACTCACCTTTCCACACAGGTATGCACTCACCTTAGACCGTACATGTATGCACTCACCTTAGACCGTACAGGTATGCATTCACCTTTTTGCATACAGGTAAGCACTCCCAATTCTAACGTACAGATGTGCATTCCCGATTCCATGTATAGGTATGCAGTATTTGCCTTTCTGTGTACAGGTATGCAGTATTTGTCTTTCTGTGTACAGGTATGCACTTTATAGGTATACACACACTTGTCTTTGCATACAGGTATGCTTGTGTCATTCAGTGTACCTAGGTCTTCAGACACCTTTCTCACATTATGTATGCACCTTTCACAGGGTTGCAGTTATTTTGTCCTCAACCAATACTTACGAGCATCATCACATCCCCCCAGTCATACAACGTAATCCCCCCCCCCCCAATACACAATAATCTCCAGGCACCCACACAGCGTATCCATACCTGATCACAGCCCTTCCTAAATGCAGTAACCTACAACAATGCATACAACTAAGTGAATATTCATGTCTAAACAGACGTGCACGTGGACCAAGGGAATGTCCGAAATGCATTTCTTTGAATCTGTTCATATTAGCGATGCACCGGAACTTGGATCCGGCTGGAACTATCCGGCCGGATCCCCAATTTTTAGAGTTTCGGTTTCGGCCGGTACCCTTCAGAAACAGTCGGCCGGAACCGGAACTTTTTCCTAATTTCATTTCTGCTACAAAAGTCATCAAGATCAAAAGATCAGTCACTGAATGTAATTGAGAGTCAATAGAGTCAACTTGCTGACAATATAGTATTAACAACTTCACACTATTCCGCCCAAAAAATGCTTGCCACTTGAACATTGGCTAACTAACTGAACTGAACCTAACTGATGTTAGGTGATTCATAAGATTTTCTTTCAAAAACAAATACTCTTAGAGCCACAGGAATTGCGTCTGTCTGTTAGTTGAAAATAATAGACTAAACCAGGGATACTGCAACATGTAGGTTTTGCTACATAAGTCACTTGCGAATAAGATGCCAGAATTATGCAAATTATGCACTGTAAGCAGCTGATTCATACACTTAACAACCATCCTGTAATTAGAACTTTGTGCCTAGCTAGCTGCTAATGATATTTCATTCAGGCCGAATGAGTTTGCGCAATACTGGGCCAAAACTGTCAAGTTTATTCTTTGCTAAAGTTCCGGTTCCGGCCAGGTAGTTCCGGCCTGAACTTTTTTCAAGTTCCGGCTGGTTCCGGTTCCGGCCAGAACTTAAAAAGTTGGATTCGGTGCACCCCTAGTTCATATAATGATGGAAAACATAATGTGATAGCACAGAGACACTCATTTCGATTTCCTCACTACAGGTCATTCTGCCAGCCCGCTGAATTGCTGGATTTCCTCATAGAGAGATTTGAGATAACGGAGCCGCCTCCCCTCATCACTGACTGCCTGGATGAGGACAGGGACACGCAGGTGCGAGAGGACCTCAAGCGCTTCCGGAAAGAGTATGCGCAGCCCGTACAGTTCAGGTGAGCATTTGGTGCAATGTGCGCTAAATAGACTAGTATTCTGCAGTGTTTGTGTAGAGAGAGAGAGACTGCAGTTCATACTAACATTCTTCTGGAATATGTACGGAGAGACTGCGGTTCAGGCAAGCTCTCTTCAGGAATATTTATTGAGAGAATGTGGTTCAGGTGAGCATTCTTGTGAAATGAGCTCGAAGTGACTGTGCTACACATAAGGTTTCGCTGTAGTATGTCGTGTTGACAGTGTGAGTTTTAAGAAAAGCATTCGTCTGGTGTAGATCCTCGCATACTGGTAAAGATTGATGTGAGATGTAGGTGTGTCCTTCGAAACTAACATTAGCCGCGCACACCTTTTGCTGCAGGGTTCTGAATGTGCTTCGACACTGGGTGGACCAGCACTTCTACGACTTTGAGCGGGATCACAGCTTGCTCGCCCATCTCAATACCTTCATCGACTCTGTTAGTGGCAAGAACATGCGCAAGTGGGTGGAATCAATCACAAAGATCATCAAGAGGAGGGTGCGTATCCAGTTAAAGGGCTGTCTTGTTTTCCTTTGTCGGGAACTTGGGAACCAGTATGACTTGGTATGAGCTCGATACTATATTAGAATAAGTATCGTGAATGAGCAGGCCACAGAGAAGAAAGTGCCCTTTGATGTGAATTGTTGTGTCATTTCCCACGGTTATGCCACTTGCCCAGTATAGTGCACCAATGTTGGTCTCAGTGCCTGACATAACTGGTCACCAAGTTGCCAAATGTTGCTGATCATACTTCGGTGATCACAAAACTACTAAAGAGGAATCATTAGTGGCCCAAAATATGATTATTAAGTGGTCACATTCTTTCTTCTTTTTAAAATGATAGATACGGAAATATCTCAATCCAAAACCTTAATAGTGTGATAATTGAGATTAGATAACATTGTTCGATGTCAAGTATTGACTTTACAACGTAATTCCAAAGCATGTGTGTTAGAATGCAATTTATTTATTGAGTGCTCCTAGATCAAACGAATCACCGGTGGTGTGAAAATGTTAACATGTGTGTCAATTACATTTGAACGACAAGTTATTAAAATAAACAACAAATAGCATTAAAAGTAAAACAAATGTAAATCGTGACTGATTTTAGCCCTGATGGCGACTAAATTTAGCTGTGTACTATGCAAATGTGTACCCCCTCTCAAGCTGTAAGTTTTATGAACTGTGGGAGAAGCTCTTAAAGAATGTAAGGACTGTCTCTGCATTGGGCAGCAGTGGGTCTATGTGAAAGTTGTGTCTGGTCTTCAATTTATATGTAATATGGAGGCATGTTGAACACTGTATTCAATTAATGCTAGAGACTACTTATTTTTAGTATATTGGACCATATTATGGCAACTCTAAATCTGTAAATGCTTTCAAAAATGGCTGGGGGTTCGCTCAAAGTTTTGTTTGCAGTAAAACAAGGAAAATACCAATAATCAATTTGGGTCACCGAGTTTCATTTTAGGCCAATATAAGTTCCATTTTACTTGCCCTACTCGCCGAATAAATTTCCTCTGTCAGACACTGCTATGTGCTATGTGGGTTAATGTTTACCGTATGTTACTTACACAGATGGACAGCTCAGAGTCTCAACGGGAGATCACATTTGAGGCGAGACCACCGACGATAGAGTGGCACATCGCAAAACTGCCTCAGGACTTTGACCTTATGATGGTATGAGTAAACTTAGATGATGAACTCGGTAGACAGAACCAATAGCCTAATATATAGCCCTATAACGTATTGATTATTGCAGAAGAGGATAATACTCCTATAGCATGTATAGTGTATAATGGCAAAACAGGAAGACCCTGCTGTAATTTAAGCAAAATATCTTTTTTAAATGCAAGTCTAAAGTGAGTTGGTAGGACTGCATCAATCACCGTTCTTCCCTCTTTAAAATAAACCAAACTGCCAACTGTTTTTCCATAAGACATTCCTAGGCTGAGATATTGGCTTTTGGCTAATTTTTGTCAGTATACCATCGTTGTATACGATCAATCAACTTATTTTAAACTTGCTTTTAAAATAGAATAACTTTGTGCAAACTGTAGCATAGTCTGTAGCAACCCATTTTGTTATTATGCACTATAAATGTCATATTCTCTTGGTTTTATGTGATTATCTTGTTGTGGTCAGCTATTTAACAATTGTTTAGAAGTGAAGTCTTTTTTGTAATTCAAAACATGACAAAAAGTGAGAATGATTTACTAAAGACTTGATGGTCTGTTTCAGCTTCATCCTATTGAGTTGGCTCGGCAGCTCACGCTGCTGGAGTTTGACCTCTACCGGGCAGTGAAGCCCTCCGAGCTAGTAGGCACTGCGTGGACGAAAAAAGACAAAGAGAAGCGATCGCCGAACCTTCTCAAAATGATTCACTTGTCGACAAACGTGAGTACAGCGAGATCTGGTTTAAAACACGCTTCTACAGAAGAGTTAATGCATGGTTCGCACAGTCCTTGAAAAGTCCTTGAATTTGAGGGGAGTCCTTGAAAAGTCCTTGAATTTGAGGGGAGTCCTTGAGAGGTACTTGAATTTAATAAATGTTGATTTTGTGTTTGAAAAGTCCTTGAATTTCATGAAAATGTTCTTGAATTTTTAGAAAGAATCTTTGTCTGTAATAAAAAAAAAATTTGTACCATCAATAATGTGCAAACCTCAATAAAAATTGCGTTAATGAGCTTAAAAAGCTATAGACACGATAGACAGTTAAATGATTATCACAAATTACAGTAAGTCAGTAAAATCAGTCAGTAAATCAAGGTATGTTGTAGAAGTGACAGTGTTTAGAAGGGTTTATTAATGTGATCCAGGTAAGTCTTAGAGGTGACAGTGATTAAGAATGGGGTTATTATTAAATTAATCCAGGTATGTTTTGTTCTGTGTATGAATTCCGATAAAATGTCCGATAAAATGTGCTTGAATTTCCGATAAAATGTCCTTGAAAGGTCCTTGAAAAAATGTTCAGTTCTTCTGTATGAACCATGTAATGTGTGCCAGATCCTGTCAAGAGTAATGTAATCACAAGAAGATTGTTAATAATTATACAAGTCGCAATGTTCCTTATTATCTTACTCTTGGTTTCCACCCAAAATTTACGGATATTAATTGTAATTACTACTCACGAACCGGTTATAAGTGTTGTCTGGCGAGGTTTGTGATCAGTGACAGAGGGTAGCGTCTTGTCTGCTTATAGTTTACACTTTGGCTGGAGAAGTGCATCATGGAGACGGAGAACATGGAGGAGCGCGTGGCTGTCGTCTCACGCATCCTTGAGATCCTGCAGGTTCTCATGGATCTGAACAACTTCAACGGTGTTTTAGAGATTGTGAGCGCTATGAACTCTGCCGCTGTCTACCGACTGGAGCACACGATGCGGGTATAGACACCCTCTCTCTCTCTTTCTCTCTCTCTCTCTCTCTCTCTCTCTCTCTCTCTCTCTCTCTCGGTGCTCGGTTCCTCTCTCTGCTCTCTCTCCCTCTGCTCTCTGTCTCTGTCTCTGTCTCTCTCTCGTCTCTCTCTCCCTGGTCTCCCTCCTCTCCTCTCTCGTCCTCTCTCCTCGACCTGTCTCTTGTCTCTCTTGTCTTCTCTCTCTCTCTCTCTCTCTCTCTAGTCTCTCTCTCCTCTCTCTTGCCTATCTCCTCTTCTCTTTCTTGCTCTATCTCTATCTATCTATCTCTCTCTCTTTCTCTCCTCTCTCGTCATCTCTCTTCTCTCTCTGTCTCGTGTCTCCTGTCTCTGTCTCTGTCTCTGTCTCTGTCTCTCTCTCTCTTCTCTCGCTCTCTCTGTCTCCTGTCTCTGTCTCCTCGTCTCTGTCTCGGTCTCTGGTTCTGTCCTGCTCTCTGTCCCTCTGTCTCTCTCCTCGCCCTGCTCTCGCTCTCTCCTCTCTCTGCCCCTCTCTCTCTCTCTCTCTCTCTTCTCTCTCTCCCTTGCTCTATCTCCTCTCGTCCGTCTTTCTGCTTCTAAGTCTCTATCTAATCATCTCTTCCGGGTCGTGTCTTCTCTCGTCTCTCTCTCTCTCTTTTCATCTCTCTGGAAAACTATTTATTTACCAGCTGTTCATTATGGTACTATTGTGGATTTGGGGTTATTGTACCTGTGCGGGAGAACATGTTCCCACTGTGTTGATGATTGTATTCAGGAATGCCCAAGTAAGCTAGTCAAACTATTGGATGAGGCGAAGGAGCTCAACTCTGACCACTTCCGCAAGTACATGGAAAAACTGCGCTCTATTGATCCTCCGTGTGTGCCCTTCTTCGGTAAGCACACAAACTCATGTCAGGCCAGCGTGTTTGCGTTTAGGATGACTAAAATACATAAAGAACAATGTGTATGGTTCATGTGTGTGTACTGCACAAAGAGACTTTGTTCATATGTAAATGGATTCAGGGTGCTACAATCTAACTATAGGGCACTTATGCTGCTGCTCTTTTCCAGGAATGTATCTGACCAACATTTTACACATAGAGGAAGGCAACCCAGACTTCCTTCCTAACATGCATGAAGGCATTATCAATTTTGCTAAGCGGCGGAAAGTGGCAGAGATAACGGGAGAGATTCAACAGTACCAGAATCAACCATATTGCCTGACGGTTGAGCCTGACATTAGGGTAAGCCTGCCATCACTAGCGATAGTGGAGTAATGTTAGAGCATTAAGTCAAAGTTCTGTATGTCTTTTTTTTCGTTTTTGTTGTGTTTTTTTTTATTTTGCTGGCAAATTTGCTTTCACTCCTAGTGCTCGGCTCTTTAGTCGCAAAATCTCATTTCTTCGGTCATTCACTCTCTATTGGCATGAAAAATACATTGCTCACTGCCACTCATTCAGCAGCTGTCATTTCAATCACAAATGCATGATAGCCCCATACAGATACCTTACTATGCCTGCCTTTAGCCATGCATGAAATTGTATTTCGAGCAGGTGGGGGTTAAGCAAAGAGAGTAATCCGCTTGCTGTTCATAGTTTAGTATTTGTATTTGATGCACGTTTGTAGCTGTACGTTTTTCTCTTGCAAAAGTATTTTGAACATCTGGATGAAAAACCAGTCCAGTATACTTGTGTTACATTGTTTTGGGATCTGGCATTGTTCAAAAAAAGCTTTTACCATGTTTGGTATGGCGAAAGATATAAACGTGCTGTATCCATCAAGAATCTTTTAAAATGGCATTTAAACTTGTTAGCTCAATATATTTTTATGTAAGTCTAAGCTTTAAAGCTAAGTTTGAATGCTCCTTTTTAGTAAATGGGAATGGATGGGGGATCTGGTGGGTTCGAGATCGGTAATGTGCCCTGGTGGCTTTTAGATCTGTCAGGTATACTTGTGGTTTATAAATTGGTACTGGTAGGTTTTGGATCAGGTAGGTGTATAGGTGGTTTCTAAATTGGGCAGGTTTACTAGTATATTTCAGATGAGGCAGGGGTACGAATGAGTTATAAATTGGCCAGTTGTAGTAGTACAGTAGTACTAGTAGGTCAATGATCTGGATGATCACATTGATGATGTGTTTTGACTCACAATCTCTGATGGTTTATGATGAGTAATTCCATTTCCTTTATTCTCTTTCTACCATATTCTCCTTAGTGATACAATGGAAGCGACAATATTATGTCAATCCATAAATAGTGCAGAAAGTGGTATATGTATTATTTCTTCATGTGTTGTGTGGTAGTCACAATAACTCATGAATATGATTTCAGATGTTCATAGAGAACTTGAATCCACTCAGTGATATGACGGAGAAAAAGTTCAACAACTATTTTTTTACAAAAAATTACTTGAAATAGAGCCATGAAACTCCAAACAGGCTGCAGTACTGCTGTAGTCACAATTACTCGTGAATATGATTTCAGATGTTCCTAGAGAACTTGAATCCGCTCGGTGATAGGACGGAGAAAGAGTTCAACGACTATCTCTACAACAAATCACTTGAAATAGAGCCACGAAACTCCAAACAGGCACCAAAATTTGTAAGTAGCATGAGACATAGCCTCCCCAGAAAAGTGCAGGGTCAGAGTCGAACCGTTAACAAAGCCCATCTCTACCTGATATAGTAACAACCAATCTAAATAGACTGAAATCATTTGTCGGCTTTTGCTCGTGATGATGTCTCAGTAGCATTGGCTAGTGATGCCCCGGCCTGCTGGGAAGTGAGCACTCAGCGTAAATCTATCGTTGGTTGTGTGTTACAGCCGAGGGTGAGCGCCTTCCCTCTCAAGTCGCCAGGGATCAAGTCGCGGCTGTCTAACCGCACGCAGCCGGTGCCGCTGTCGATGGAGCTGCGACACAGCTTCCAGCAGGTGCACGAAGACGTCGGTGATACGACGTCGCCACGGTCCCCGCTCACGCCGAGCACGCCGCTCACGCCACCGCCGCAGGGCGGCAGTGACAGCAGCGTGTTCGCGAACGTCCTCATTGGGTCAGGTGCGTAACGGTGCCGACGAGAAAGTGCACAGCTTGACTAATCGATTAGTTGGTTTTAATAAAATTTCTTTGTCTCTAATTTGATGAAATTTATGTTTTTACTAATTAAACGAGATAAAATTGTTGATTTATTCAGTAAGACTAGTTAGTTTCCTGCCCCACGTGCTAGCAGCTGTTGGGAGTGCAGACATGTGTTGTGTGTTACTGACAAACTGGCTAAAGAATAACTGAAAGAAGAAACGTAAACAATCTTTGGCAACATCAGCCGTGATAGCTTTCAAAACGATTCCATATTCATTCTACTCCACTAAACCACTAATTTACACTTTATTCTACAGCCCTAACAGGTGATAACCCACAGATATTTTGATGAAACATTCTTCTTGTTGTTGTTTATTAAAGGTACATAAATAACATCTGTAGCGCAGAAAATAATAATTAACAACGTTCATTTCAATTAATTTTAGTTCACGCTCCGGTGGTGACGGGCACGGTGACTCCTCCGGTGCAACAGTCCCAGCCACCCGTACCACCCGTGCAGCAGCCTCCCCCGCTCCCGCCGCGCAGGAAGAGGGAGCTGTCCGTCGAGGAGCTCTCGCCGAACAAGGTTCAGCAAGCACCGGACGCGCCGCAGCTGCCGCCGCGCGAGAGCGTCAAGCCTCCGATTCCTCCGCGCAGGGAGTCGTCCAGCACCCTCCCACGCCCGCACAACCCGCGGCCGCGGCCCGAGCTTCCGCGCAGCGCGACACTGCCGCGCGGCCAGTCCACGGGTGCCGTGAACGGCAGCGTGCCGCAGGCGGTGTCCGAGGTGCCGGAGCCGGTGCCGGAGCTGCCGCCGAAAACTTACAAACTTGCTCTGGAGCGACTGCAGAGCATGGAGAAGGACCGAATCCATACGGTGGTGCCGCCTGGCCGCAGCTGCCCGGCGTCGCCGGCCGCGGCGGCCGAGCGGACGGCGCCGGCGCCGGTTGAGCAGACGATGTCGCCGCCCATCGACAGGACAATGTCGCTGCCGGCAATCGTGCCGCCCCCTGTCGATAGAACACTGATGCCGACGGTTTTGTCGCCCGGAGGTCGGAACGAGCAGGAACGACTCACTCATCTCGACGCGAGCCTGGCGAGCGGGCACAGCGCCCACAGCAACATTTACCATGACGCGCCCGGCATGGGAAGCGTGCACACCATACAGGGCAACGTGTACCATCAGAGTCCGAGTCGACACAGCCCCGCCAGCTAGAACTCATGTGTGTGCGTGCACGGCCTCAGGCACGGCTCTGTAAAGACAGCTGTTTGTCTGCTGCCACTGTGATGTGGGGGGAGGGTGGGGGGGAGGGCAGCAGATGCCCCCTGTCGGAACAAAATTACGGCATTGCGCTTGTGCGAACACCAGATTTTACATAACGTATTAGCATCGATGGGGGAAAACTTCAGATTGTATGTACGACAAACAAGAAGTCGGATATTTTTGGATGGAGATCAGAAGACTAGGCATGGGTCGACAGCAACAGATGTAGCTTTCTGCAGCATCTGATAGTGTGCGATTTTGTTCTGTTGCAATGAATGAAACTTTCGTTCTGCGTGAGTGATCTTGGGCAACATTTTGGTACTCTTCAGCGGAAGAAAATGCTTGCGTGCATGCAAGCAAGATAATACGTTTGTTTAGTGAAGAAAAACAAGCAAGATATGCTCACCAGTTATACTGAACAAAGTAAGCGTACGGTCGCTTGAAATATCATATAGGCACTGGTATGAATAGCCAAACGTGCTGTTTGCAGGCGATCATAGTTTTAGCGAAAAATTTATGTAATAGGTAATGTGATTCATTGATGAACGGTGGTGAAGTGACAGTAACAAGTAGTATATAAAACATTTTTGTGCAGTAAACAAAAGGCCGGTGCCATGCAAAGCTCGATATTGAAAGTTGTGTGTAATGTATAGTGGTCTAAACAAAACCTTATGGTAGAATTGTGATGTGCAAGATTAGAGCCCAAGTTATGATCTTAAGGCAGGGAATTCTGTATGGTCGAGTTGGTCTCTGTTCTAGAATGGAGACCAGACAGTGAAGACTGTGACTTGTCTCTAGCCAATGGAGATCTCCATTGGGGTAGAATCGGCCAGCAGAATTAGTTGCTGTTGACTACCCTCATACATGTTGGTCTTTTTGCCCACCTATTCCAACTTTTCTCAGCCTATCAGTGGCATTGTAGTCTGATTTAGTCACACGAAGCTGTTGTTTTTGAATGCTGTGTAGTGCCGTTCAGTAGTAGAAAAATGGGAACTGCCATAACAGTGCTTTTAGGCTGAAACGGTCGGCCAACAAGGCGAACACACATCGTCTGCTATGCGGTTTGTAAATAATGCAGAAGTCTTGTTAATGTTCTTCACAAAACAAACAATTAGCCAATTAGCCAAGAGGTTAATTAATGGTTGCTTGAAATGAATTGTGAGCAAGGTTGCAGCTGTACAGAATTCATAAATACGATATATGCAGGCGATCCGTACGTACGTGAGTGGAGTCTACGACAGGTATTAGATATAAGGAGTGCGCTTGTGATCAATCCTTGGGAAATTCACCTGCAGTTACGTTCACGTCATTTTGTGTAGTCACTGCAGGTTGTCCAACCTTAATAACCGAGAATCTGCTTAGTGCCTTCTGTAGAGAAAGTCTGTGAAAATATGTAGGCCAATGGTTCAAGTCCAGGTGTAGAGATTTTTATTGTTATTTATTTCCATTCACTTATCTGTCACTTCCACAACGGAAATATGCAATTTTTGTTTTCATAAATAAGTAGAGAGAAATCAGAATTGGGTGTGCTGCTCACACTGGGTAGTGCTGTGATGAATAGTATCAAGAGTACATAATGGGATCTCCCATTATGTACTCTTGATAGTATCAATCTATGCAGATGGCAAACTTCTTAACATTTCCCTGTGCCTGTGCACGAATTTTTGAAGCTGGTTCAAACTGGGGAGTGAGAGCATTAGTAAGATTTTGCATATCAGTGATATGCCTGCATTTTTGCTGCTTTTATCTGAAACAAGGGTTTCGTAGCTCTCTATGTAAAAATTGTGTATAGAATATAAACCGTTGGACAAAAGAGAAATATTGAAGTTAATGAAAGGACTATACTCCATTGTAGGAGGTTATAGTGCTAATGTTTGTGGATGCTGTTCAAGCATTATTTATGTTGTTATGATGATGATCATGGTGTAAACATATACATGAAAACAATGTGGAAGCAAACAGAAAATAAAAAAGTACATTAGTAAATTGTGTTTCATGGTTTTATTGTAGTGGTCGTACATGTTATAGCCATACATGGTCCAGGATTATTTCCGTATATATCCATTAATGCTATAAGATTGGCGTATAATTTCAGGAATGTATAAAAAAATGTTATTTATTCACTTCAGAAGTTCAGTTCTGTAAATGTAGAATATGCATGCAAACACGTTTTTTTTCTATACTGAGTAATTCCACACTAAGCATGTCAAGTAGTATTAGTTATAGTGTATAAATAAATCGGTTTTCAGAGCAAGTCACTCTACAAAAAAAAACTGGCATTGCCAGGACAAAAGAGTGACACAATAGTAGGGCTGCGTTTGTTCATTGTTTTCATAACCTTATATACTGACTATAGTCTTCAACGTACAAGGGACTAAATCAAAGACGATCAAAGTTTATCAAATATAGACAGAGTAACACTCTAGATGTTCTGTCATTTCCTAAATGATTTAGTTTAGTTTAGTGGCTCACTGCAACACTCGGGTGTTCTAAGTTGTAATATTATTAGACTATTTTGAAGCATTCTGATATTTTTGAAGTTTTTAGTATTTTAATTATGAATCATGATGTAAATATTGTAAATTTTGGCACAAACATAAATCGACAACGGCTTCAAGCACTAGCTGAGCTGTATATAATATATTTCGCATGTATGTATTATATATAATACATTTATTATTATTACGACTGCTATTATTATTATTGCTATTATTATTATGCTATTATTATTATTATTATTAGGGGCACTGCTGCGACACAACCCACAACCAACTGACCTCAGGTTCAGGCTGAGAATGGCGCGCGTCAATGACAATAATGTGTTACAAATGACACTTACAATGTCAATGTGTGTGCGCGCGCCTGCCTGTGTGCGTGCGTGCGTACGTGAGTATGTACATACATAAGTACTCTCATTTATATTATGATGCTTTGTGCGTTATACTTTGAGCAAAGTTTAGCTATTGTTTATGGGTTTGGCGAGAGATTATAAAGCCTTGGTGACATCTGACGTCATGCAACGTCATCGATCGATCGTCATGCCCTCACGGAGATCCCTGTACCCGGCGATAGTTAACTAGCAGGGAAATGCCAATGTGAGACCTAGCGCCGCGGATGTGCCCTTAGGTATTAGGTTCATACGCCATTATAAACCACAGTATAAAAGCAGGCAAGCTCAGACAGTGTATGGCGGACGGTGCGCCCGCTCTCTTCTGATATGGTTTGTGAAGTTTTGTCTTAAATCAGAAGTGATGGCGACTCCAAATCCAGTGGTGAGTTATATTATGAACTAGAGCAGATTTTGGACGTAAAATTATTTAGTTAGGTTGTGTGAATCCTCGTGATAGACATGTTAACTGTAATAAAAATTTCCAGTGTGCAGTCGAGCTGTCTGCCTTGGCTCCCCTTGATGCTGTACTTTTATAGCGAAATGAACATGAGCTCTTCAAGGGATTGGTTGGCAATGAGCTACTGAGAACCGTATGGGCGTATTTCAAAAGCTCATAATAATGAAGACGCGTTTTAACAGCGTTTTGCATAGTTTTCAACTTCTATATATATATATAGAACATTTTTTGATTCTATAGATAATACTAATAGTAACAAATATTCTAGCAATATGTGAATAAATATATTCAAGCTTTACCTTAACTATAGCTCTATAAGCCTTAATTAAGCTTTACTATCCAGACCTTGTTTTCGTCTATGAATATGATTCTCCCTAATGCCAACATTTAGGAAAACTGTGAAACCATGTCGTATTCAAAGAACTTTTTGGAAGAACACATACGATTTTCAGGTAAATTGGTGGTGTCATATGATAAAAGTGATTACGGTACCGTAAATAGTAAAAAAACAAAAAACAAAAAGCACTTTTTCACAAAATATAATTATAAGTAATTCTGTTCACTTTTTAGCTCATCTGACCATAGGCAGATGCAGCTTGTAGAATCGCATGATCGTCCGTCTGTGCGTGCGTGCGTCCGTGCGTCCGTCAACAGTTGGGCACAAATCTTAACCGCTCGACGTACGGTCACGATATTCGGGACGTTGGGGGGGATTGTCAAAACGAGTTGGGATGTCGAAGCTGGGGGATGCAACTGCAGCTGGCACTGTCGAACGGGACGACGTATCGTGTAAGCTGCGTTCAACAACGAGGATTTGCAGTACTGTACTGAGGCGTTCACAGAGACGGTAAAAATAAATATTCAGACATTATAGCCGCGGCTTCGCCAAGTACGTACTGAAATACACGAAGCTTATTCGGGTCGGGCGGAAGTGATTCCGCGCTGAAAACAACGGCACCACGCTGGTCGGCGTATTGTCAGTCGTGTGAACGGCAATTTTGAGGCGGTCTCGTAAGCTGTGAAACCTGTAGTGCGCTACATTGATAGCTAGGCGCCGGAGTGTCGTTTTTTCAACTTAGGCTCATGCGCATTGAAAATATTTCTCCCGAATTTCCTTTTGATAATCGTCCATCACCAAAGCATATCGTATGTTCATCTGGATCATAATTTTGTGTAAGTTTACGTGAAAAACTGGGCCACAAAAACAACTGACTTTCATGGGGCAGCCCACCATCAATGAAAAAACACTTCCCCTAAGTCTAACGCGAGAAATTATGTTACTAATTATACCTAGCCAAGCTAAGCCTCGATTCATCAGTGGGTGAACGTCTGCGGGTTGTGGTTAGCAACGGGTGGTATTTCAGCCGAATTCAGAGTAATAGGGGGCTGATCTCGTCGTGAACGTAAGCCTGTAGTCACAGCGCCGCACTGTAGCATAAACTATTACATTTCCTTATTAACTGTTTACTCTATGCCGCATCGTCAGCTGCCAGGCTCCCCGAAATTCAGAGGTAAATCCGGTAATACTGATTTGTTGACAGATTTCATGAGGAAAACCTAAAGGAAATCGACGGCATTACATAAAAAAGAAGAACCTTGTCGTTAGCAGTGCTCCTGTCCACCTCAGCAACTTCTTAGTCAACTTTTGTCTTGAAAATCATAAAGGGACAGCTAGCCTCATAAGGATTTCAGCCTGCATACACTGTACTTACTGTATAACAATCGTCTATAACCTACATTATTTGTCACCAGATACTTAATTATTAATTACCATCAAACGCTCGAATTGAACGGCCGCCAATGACACCCTGGTCCTGCTCGCTCCCGGCCCGGCGACCGTGCTGACACCCCGCCCTGAAAAATGTTGCGTATGGTTGCAATTTTTATTGTTGCGTAAATGACCGCGAGGATACATCACAAAAAGTCAATATGATTTATTACTAAATCGCTATATTTAACCGAGAAACGAGTATTATTTTAGGGGCAAATATTATCCCATATATAACTGAAACTATACCTGTCGTTTATAAATCATTAGCAAATCCTTGTTGCTTAAAATGAATTAAATAAGAAATACACTCGTCTGTAGGCCCTTGGCTGGAAAGTGGTTTTGCGGGCAACTTCTCAGATCGGGCGCTTGAGGTGGCGCCACCTCGTTTGTAAATCAAACTGTAGTCCGTTAAGTTTTAAACATTTTTAAG